AAAAAAAAAACGTTTTTTGGCCTCAGAGTGGAAGTTCCCACTAAGATGCGAGTGGAGCGCTGGTCCTTCAGTTTGTTTGAGCTGCTGACAGACCTCCGGGGTCGGGATGACTTCAAGATCTTCCTCAAAAAGGAGTTCAGCGGTATGTTATTTTTGGCATCTTTTCTCCATTGTGTTTAACCTAAATCTCTCTTGACATATTTAAATAATAGTGCGCTCAAAGTTCGCATGCGAGAATTACTATCAGCATATTTTAAGATACCCAACATTGGTATATTTGATTATCTTAATTTCTCCCGTTTTCCATGATTTGCTGTTTTGTACTTTCACATAACACCAATATGCAGTCAAAGTAAACACAAGAAACCATTGCTACAAACAAATGAACTACAATCCCTATATACGATCCCTATAGCCTCTTAGAAACTGCACCAGTAAAAGCAGGAAGGTGGGTATAAATAAAGAGTTGAAAATAAAAGATAAACAGAAAAGTAGGAAGGGATTCAAACCCTGGTTCGGGTGGGAGTTGATGAAAGTATGGAGGATGCAGAAGTGGAGACAGGAAAAGACACACAGGCAGATTTACCCAACAAGCTAATCTCTTTAGAAGAAAAAATAACATTGTAACAAATCTTCCACATTGTACTTCCGCTGGACACATCCTAACTTTGCATCCTCTCTGCTCTGCTTCTGCCCCCCCAACTCTACCTACTTTACAATCCAGCCCTTAATAGTGCTTGATAAAAATCACAGGATAACCAAAGTACTTAAAAAGAAAAAAAGTTGTTAGGCACTACTAAAAAAGTACCACATAAAAAAAGGAATCAATTACCTGAATAAAGTAGTGAATATTTTATCCTATTTTAGAGAAAAAGAGTTGAGCATTTTGTGGAAATTAGCTTTCGAACGGGGAGATACTGAATCTTTTGGCACATCAGAATCAGATTGGCAGAAGTATCAGGACGTTAAAAAGAAGAGGCAAGAAAATGCATCTTTTCAACAGAACGTTTTAAGTAAAAAAACCTACCAGTTATGACTTTTAGTCTCGTAATTAATTCTCAACATATTGATGAAACACTTAAATCTTGTAATTAATTTTTTTAAAAATGTTGCCATAATAATTTGTTGTAAATAGGAATGTATTGTGAGACTTTTGTTTTTATACCATAACCAATATGTTATTCTATACAAAATCTTTACCGATTATGTGAATCATTTATTGTTTTTTTAATTCATTTTTAAAAAAATTTTTATTTTCACAACAATAACACAAAAACAGTATTGTGTTTCACTAAAGAAAAATGTGATGGACAACTGCCGAAAAACCCTCAAGGGGCTTACTGAGTGGCAGTCTCCATAAAAACAAATATATTTCACAATTTCAAACATCTACATGATGACATATTGTGTAAAAAAAAAAATTCTTTGCATAAAACAATTTAAAATATCATTCAGACAACAAATTGTTTTGTTGGGCAGATGATAATTTGTTAGGTTTCGATGGTTGAAGATAGAAGATCTTGAAAATGCTTACCTGGTTTTGTGGCTGTACCTGTTCCAGGAGAGAACTTGGCTTTCTGGGAAGCAGCAGAGGAGCTGAAGTGGGGCACTGCCTCATCTATGACTTCCAAAGCTGAGACCATTTTCAAGTAAGGCTAATTCAATTCAGCATGTTTCATGTGTTTTATTTACATAAAAATAGTGTCTAGCTTGCCTGTACACTTGTTTTGATTCATAATTCATGTCTGGCTCTACACTTAGTGGAATGGAGTGTCTTATAACATTAGAGTATGTACAAACTTTATCAAAGTAGGCCAATAAAAGCTTATTGTTTTTAACCTCCTGAGACCCCAGATTTTAATTGGTGTGCATTTTTGCTTTTTTAAAGATATATGGGATTAGTACAACCTACTAAGTTTAATAACTCAAATTTGTCATGGTACAGGTAGTTGTGCTTCGTATAGGCTCAGTGGGTTTATCTTTATATTTAAAATGCTAGTTTATGTATCTAATTAAATGTTATTGGAATTTTGTTCTGACAGTCCAAATTACTTATTAACAATTTTTTAATTACGCAATAAGAACATTATTGGTTGAAAATGTATAGCACCCATTTTACTTTAGAGTGTCTGATAGCGTCTGCTATGAGGCCAAGAGGTCAAAGTTGAAAGAAAAAAGAAGTATCATGGTAAAGAGAGGCAAAAATGCAACGTCCTCTAATGAGGACACAGGGTCTCAGGAGGTTAAGTAAGTTTTACAGCTCGGAATGGCATGTCGACCATTCCCCAGACGGAATGGCCTCGTGTCATCATTGTGGTGTGGTTGTGTTCAGAACCTTCCTGGCCCCCGGCGCCCCCCGCTGGATTAACATCGACGGCCGGACGATGGGTCTGACGGTGAAAGGCTTAGACCACCCTCACCGCTACGTCCTGGAGGCTGCTCAGACACACGTCTTCATGCTCATGAAAAAGGTCGCTTTATTCCCTACCTTTAGCTTGCACTCACACAAAGAAGTGAATTCTAATGATTGGTTCCCTGATTTGAAAATCTCCTCTGAAAATAATTTTGTGGATTTAACAAGGTTTTTTTTGTTTTGTTTACAATTCAACGTTTCTTTTCATTTAACAGCTTTTTTGCATTGTACTTTTTTGTTGTTTACATTTAATGTTTACATATACATTTAACTTTTTTGTTTGCTTACATGGAATGTTTTTTTTAATTAACAACTTTTTTTAAAAATGTAACAACTTTTTTAAAATGTAACATTTTTTACTTGTTTACATTTACCTTATTTTTTTTTACATTTAACAACATTTTTTTTGTTTGTTTACACTGAACGTTCTTTTCATTTGACTTTTTTTTTTAAATGAAACAACTTTTTTTGCATTTTACGTTTTTTCCCTACATTTAACTTTTTTTGTTTACATTTAACAACTCGTTTGTTTCTTTTACATTTAAAGATTTTTCATTTAACAGCTATATAACAGGATAATGTTTGAACAGATCCAGCGTCCAATCAGATATTGGGGAAGGTTTTTCTTTTTCTTTTGGGCCAAGAGAACAAGGGGGGGGGTATGTCTGCATGCCCCTCAGAAAATAGGTAGTTGTGTCCCTGAGTTTGCCAAAGTAGAACTGATTGGATGAAAAGACCATAAAGAGACTAAACTTTTTCAGCAGTTCTTAGATCAAAACTTTTTGGATCACATTGAAACATAGACATGAACTGTGTGTTACTTATGCTAATTGCATGTTCTTTCATTGGAACAGGACACATTCTTCCGTTATCTCAAGTCTCCAACGTACAAAGACATTCAGAAAAAGGCCCTGAACCCTGAACCTCATAACTTTAGGTAAGTATGGGAAGCTCCCCATAAACGTATGATAACTTCCATTTTTGTATTGACTGGTACAGATATAAGACGATATCTGGCAAAAGTTACAGAGCAGGATCTCACTTGCCTGTACACTCCAACTGACTATCAACATGTACAAACAAGAGTTTTTTCCGTAATTGTTTATCACTTTTTCTATCTGCCATAAATTAACCGATGGTGAGACACTTTAACTTAAAGGATTTTTACAATACCGATCAACCAGGTCAAAAACCAAAAAACAATATGGCATCCATCCATTTTCTGGAGCCTATTTTCTGGAGCCCATCCCAGCTGACTTTGGGTGACAGGCAGGTTACACATATTTAGTGAGAGAAGCTCTTCATAAATGTATAACTTCCATTTTTTCTAATTGAATGGCATAGATATAAAACAATAACCAGCAAAATGACGGAGCAGGATATTACTGGCCTGTACAATACAACTGACTATCGACATGTACATACAAGAAGAGTTTTTTCCATAATTGTTTATCACTTTTTCTATCTGCCACTGAAAAAGTTAACCATTGAAAAGACATTTAAATTTAAAGGATTATTACAATATCGATCAACCAGATTAAAAAAAACATAAAAAAACAATATGGCATCCATCCATTTTCCATACCACTTATTCCTAATTGGAGCCTTTCCCAGCTGACATTGGTTGAGAGGGGGGGGCTAAAATCTGGACAGATCGCAAGTCCATCATAAGGCCACACAGAGACACACAACCACACACACTCACATTCACT